ACAATAACAAACATCAATACACACCATAGCAAACATCCATACACACCATAGCAAACATCCGTACACACAACAGCAAACATCCATATACACCATAACAAACATCAATACACACAATAACATACATCAGTACACACCATAACAAACATCCATACACACCATAACAAACATCCATACACACCATAACAAACATCCATACACACCATAACAAACATCCATACACACCATAACAAACATCCATACACACCATAACAAACATCCATACACACCATAACAAACATCAATACACATCATAACAAACATCAATACACACCATAACAAACATCCATACACACCATAACAAACGTTCATGCACACCATAAAAAACATCCATTTACACAATAACAAACATCCATACACATCATAACAAACATCAATACACACCATAACAAACATCCATACACACAATAACAAACATCCATACACACCATAATAAACATCCATACACATCATAACAAACATCAGTACACACACTATAACAAACATCCATATACACCATAACAAACATCAATACACACAATAACATACATCAGTACACACCATAACAAACATCCATACACACCATAACAAACATCCATACACACCATAAGATACATCCATATACACAATAACAAACATCCATACACACCATAACAAACATCCATACACACACTATACATCAACACCCATACACATCCATACACATCATAACAAACATCCGTACACACCATAACAATCATTCGTACACACAACAACAAACGCTCATACACACCATAACAAACATCCATACACATCATAACAAACATCCATACACAACATAACAAACATCCATACACACCATAACAAACATCCATACACAACATAACAAACATCCATACACACGATCACAAACACCCATACACACCATAACAAACATCCATATACACAATAACAAACATCCATACACACCATAACAAACATCCATACACACCATAACAAACATCCATATACACCATAACAAACATCCATAAACACCATAACAATCATTCGTACACACAACAACAAACGCTCATACACACCATAACAAACATCCATACACACAATAACAAACATCCATACACACAATAACATACATCAATATACACCATAACATACATCCATATACACAATAACAAACATCCATACACACCATAACAAACATCCATACACACCATAACAAACATCCATATACACCAAAACAAACATCCATCAACAACATAGCAAACATCCATACACACCATAACAAACATCCATACACACAAAATGAAACACCCATACACACGATAACAAACATTCATACACACAAAAAGAAACATCCATACACACAATAACATACATCAGTACACATCATAACAAACACCCATACACACCATAACAAACATCCATACACACCATAACAAACATCCATACACACAATAACATACATCAGTACACATCATAACAAACACCCATACACACCATAACAAACATCCGTACACACCATAACAATCATTCGTACACACAACAACAAACGGTCATACACACCATAACAAACATCCATACACATCATAACAAACACCCATACACACCATAACAAACATCCGTACATAACATAACAAACATTCGTACACACAACAACAAACGGTCATACACACCATAACAAACATCCATACACATCATAACAAACACCCATACACACCATAACAAACATCCATATACACCATAACGAACATCAATACACATCATAACAAACATCCATACACATCATAACAAACACCCATACACACCATAACAAACATCCGTACATAACATAACAAACATCAATACACACAATAAAAACACCCATACACACCATAACAAACACCCATATACACCATAACAAACACACATATACACCACAACAAACATCCATACACACAATAACAAACATCTATACACACCATAACAAACATCCATACACACAATAACAAACACCCATATACACCATAACAAACATCCATACACACAATAACAAACACCCATACATACAATAACAAACATCCATACACTCCATAACAAACATCCATACACACAATAACATACATCAGTACACATCATAACAAACACCCATATACACCATAACAAACACCCATATACACCATAACAAACATCCATACACATCATAACAAACACCCATACACACCATAACAAACATCCATACACACCATAACAAACATCCATACACACAATACCAAACATCCATACACACCATAACAAACATCCATAAACACCATAACAAACATCCATACACACACAATAAATATCTATACACCCCTCAAGTTGTAAATTATTTGTGAGAGAAAAAGAGATATCGGACTTGACGGGTCTTGATTTCTCCTCTCTCCGGTATATTGTACAATTTTTGGCTCATCTCCGTAATATTTTTTGTAGTTTGTGTACATGTTCGGTGATAGGACATATCTGTACTGAAGATAGACATGCATACGTATTTGTTAATAAGGCAAACCAGTACTGTACTAGATGTAAAAACACATGTGTATTAGGTAATGAGACATATGTTTTCTGTAATTAAATACACACGTATGTTGGGTAAAAAGTTATACCTGCATTCCACCCCACTATACTTCACTACACAATGGTTCTGGGTCATCTGTTGTAAAAATAAATTAGTTTATAACCCTACCTCACCTCTCACCCTCTGTGGGCTGTCTCTTGTATCCCATACAACTTATACAAACCATCCCGTCCTACCTTAATAAGCCAAATACATTATAACTTACCTGGATGTTTACGGAGGTGAGTTATGAGGAAGCCAATTCAACTACTCAACACTTCTGTTTGTCAAAAGAAACACACATACAAATGTCTTATTGCTGTGGACCAAGTTATTGTTCCTCTCTTCCCCCAAATAAACAGATGAATCCCTGGTTGTGACTGGGGATCTACATGTACAAACTAACAAACAGATAATATTAGTTCCTTGTTGTGTGTCGTTGCTAGCAGTGACGATCAGGTGGGTAGATTGCACAGGTGATCTGTCAAAATTATTTTTAAACTTCTGCACTTTACCTGTGTCACAGTTTTAGATAATTATTGTGTTGATGCGAGGAAGTTATAGCTCTTCTCACTAGATATCGAGCTTAATCTTGCCATACATTAATATAAAAAATAACTTTCCATTTTCCTTCATATTTTGATAGAGAAGCATTTCAGTACTTAAAATATTTCTAGCGAATTTGAAATTTTACTATCTCCAGTTGGGCTTTGACCTAGAAACATCTTTCCACAAAAAAATCTGCCTCTCGGACTTTTGGTTTACCAGTATTTTACAGGTTTCAAAAAAACATTTCTATGCGACTTTCGATATGCGTGAAAGTAGTTTCCTTTCGCAAACCTTGTCAGACAGCATCTTATGAACCTATCAGCCAAAATACCATGCTTCTGCGCGATTTGTTTTTTTCAGATGAAGATGTTGCTAGGTTTTAACAAGTTCGACCCTTGTGACTTAGAATGAGGGTGAATTTTTTTTTGACACACCTTGCCGAGCTTCATCCTAGGAACCTATCGGGCAAATACCATGCCATAAGGCTGAGGTAAATCATGAGGCTGAGGTCTGTTATGTCATTAGGTTGTCTGTCATTATGCTGAGGTCTGTCATGAGGCTGAGCTCAGTTAGATACTGAGGTCTTTCATAAGGCTGAGGTTTGTCATGAGATCCAGGACTGTCATGAGGCTAAGGTCTGTCATGAGGCTGAGGTCTGTCAGAAGAAAAATGAGGTCTGTCATATAGTAAAGGACTGTCATGAGGCTGAGGTCTGTCATGAGGCCCTGGACTGTCATGAGGCCGAGGTCTGTCATGAGGCCCTGGACTGTCATGAGGCCGAGGTCTGTCATGAGGCTGAGGTCTGTCATGAGGCTGAGGTCTGTCATGAGGCTGAGGTCTGGCATGAGGCTGAGGTTTGTCATGAGGCTGAGGTCTGTCATGAGACTGAGGTCTGTCATGAGGCTGAGGTCTGTCATGAGGCTGAGGTCTGTCATGAGACACAGGACTGTCATGAGTCTGTCTGTGAGGCTATGAGGCTGATACTGTCAGGCTGAGGCTGAGTCTGTCATGAGGTGAGGGCTGTCATGAGGCCGAGGACTGTAATGAGACTGAGGTCTGTCATGCGGCCTAGGACTGTCATGAGGCCGAGGCATGTAATGAGGCCCAGGTCTTTCATGAAACTGAGGTCTGTCTTGAAGCTGAAATCTGTCATGAGGCTGAGGTCTTTCATATGGCAAAGGACTGTAATGAGGCCCAGGTCTGTCATGAAAATGAGGTCTGTCATGAGGCTGAGACATGTGATGAGGCTAAGGTCTGTCATGAGGCTAAGGTCTGTCATGAGACTGAGGTCTGTCACATAGTAAAGGACCGTAATGAGGCTGAGGTCTGTCATGCGGCCCAGGACTGTCATGAGGCCGAGATCTGTCATGAGAATGAGGTCTGTCTTGAGGCTGAAGTCTGTCATGAGGCTGAGGTCTGTCATATGGTAAAGGACTGTAATGAGGCCCAGGTCTGTCATGAAACTGAGGTCTGTCTTGAGGCTGAGGTCTGTCATGAGGCTGGGGTGTGGCAGGAGGCTGAGGTCTGACATGAGGCTGAGATCTGTCATGAGGCTGAGGTCTGTCATGAGGCTAAGGTCTGTCATGAGGCTGAGACATGTGATGAGGCGGAGGTCAGTCATGAGGCTGATACATGTGATGAGGCTGAGGTCAGTCATGAGGCTGATACATGTGATGAGGCTGAGGTCAGTCATGAGGCTGAGGTACAGAATTTGAAAATCTTGTTTCCATTGATAAAAGAATTATGGAGCGAATATCCGTGATTATCATTTTAGCCTTTTATTAAAACAATCTTATGGTAATAATAGTTTCCATGTACTTGATGTTCTCAAACATTCGTGTATGTATTCCTTATTCTGGCACGTTGACCTTGACTCCATGAAACTATGACGTCAAAATGGACACAATATAGGAATATAGAAATCTCTTCTGCACTTGGTCTGATTTAAGCAATTAACTTTTCTTATGTGGCGTTCATTGTCGATATAAATGCCATAGCAAGATATTCTAATATAGGTAAATTTACACAAACACTTGTTACCGACAATTTATTACGTCAAGTGGAAAAGCCGTTACGAAGGGTAGCCGTCGGCGTTTCCATGTCAACAATAATGACGTCATATTGATCACAAGCTGGACGTCATACACAGTATAAGATCTATTTCTTTTATATAATGCCGTTGTCATCGATTGTAAATATAACAAATACTACCCGTTGCAATGTGTGTGATGTGGTTAGTAAAACCCATCACGTCAATTATTTTCCATTCACTACAATCAATTTCGATTTTGTCATGTTGCCTTATCTGAAGTTTTGGTGTCTCCTTACTTTCCCATCGTTTTTTTTTCTTTTGTAGGCTTTGTCCTTATTTGGTGGTGGTACCAAGTATATGTATTAATTACATCTTACTTAAACATTTACATACACTTTTATAAACTTATTTCCACAGCCCTCCAGGATGCCTTCAACATGTTTGACATTGACGGGAACGGTTCCATCTCGGTCGAGGAACTGGGACTTGCCATGAGGTCGATTGGTGAAAACCCATCTTCAAAAGAAATCCGACAAATCGTGGAATGTGCCGATCTTGACCGTAGGTATTTGGAATGAGTCATCTTCTTAGAAATTGAACCACGTGTTAGTTTGTTTCCTTAGTACATTATCTGTAAACTGTTCGTTAAATATAAGGGAAACTGTCCTGTAAATATGGAGCGCTGTCCTGTAAATATGGGGCGCTGTCCAGTAAATATGGGGCGCTGTCCAGTAAATATGGGGCGCTGTCCTGTGGCGCTGTCCTGTAAATATGGAGCGCTGTCCAGTAAATATGGGGCGCTGTCCTGTAAATATGGGGCGCTGTCCAGTAAATATGGGGCGCTGTCCGGTAAATATGGGGCGCTGTCCAGTAAATATGGGGCGCTGAATATGGGGCTGCTGTGTCCGTAAATATGGAGCGCTGTCCGTAAATATGGGGCGCTGTCCTGTAAATATGGGGCGCTGTCCAGTATGGGGCGCTGTCCAGTAAATATAGGGCGCTGTCCAGTAAATATGGGGCGCTGTCCAGTAAATATGGGGCGCTGTCCAGTAAATATGGGGCGCTGTCCAGTAGTGTCCAGTAAATATGGGGCGCTGTCCAGTAAATATGGAGCGCTGTCCAGTAAATATGGGGCGCTGTCCAGTAAATATGGGGCGCTGTCCAGTAAATATGGGGCGCTGTCCAGTAAATATGGAGCGCTGTCCAGTAAATATGGGGCGCTGTCCAGTAAATATAGGGCGCTGTCCGGTAAATATGGAGCGCTGTCCAGTAAATATGGGGCGCTGTCCGGTAAATATGGGGCGCTGTCCAGTAGTGTCCAGTAAATATGGGGCGCTGTCCAGTAAATATGGGGCGCTGTCCTGTAAATATGGGGCGCTGTCCTGTAAATATGGGGCGCTGTCCTGTACGCTTTTGCGAAGCGGGTGAGTAATGTTATGACCTGCTGTCCAGAAACCTATGTGGCATTGTTTTGTAAACATCTGGAAAGTTGTCCAGTAAAATTATGAGGCGTTGTCAAGTAAAAGAATTGTGTACTAAAGAGACACTGTCCTGTAAAGTTATGAGTAGATGTTCATAGATATATGGAGAGTTGATAATAATAAAGTTGATGTCATAGACATTGAAAAAAAAAAAATTCTCAAAGTCGAAGATGTATCAAATACTACATGTTATATTGTGGGCATATAGTCGACACTTTGTCCATCCGTTTTTCGTTCGTCCTTTGCTTTCATTTAACGTGGTCTAAACATCGGTCATACTTATAATATTGTAACGTGCACCCTTATGGTAGCGTGCGTGCACGCCGGGCTCTCAATTTATACGGAGCTACCTGCTCCAGAGGCGATCGGGATCCCTCGGCTACCTGGCCGAACAGTTGAACAAAATAACACAAACTAACGAACAATATATAAATATACACTACAATAGGATGGACAGTACCCCTGTCCTCCCTACACCGTCGCCTGGACGTAGATTACACGAGGAGGCTACAACACACCGCAACACTCAACAGCCTGCCAGCACCACGACACGGTCACTACAGGCACGTCCTCAATCGCTGAGCTGACCACCGTACAGCTCCGACGTCACCTGCCAGTGTCCTGCTATTACCAAGTACTAAGTAAAGTGTCAGTTCTTGTATCAGCAGTCAGGCGTACCAGAGCAGCCTTTGCAGGCGACCCCTTATCCAGGAGCTTCTGGAGTACCTGACCCGTCAACTGACCGGCACCAACCACACGTACAGTAACTGTTACCAGAGTAGCCTCATTCAGGCAACCCCTTATGCAGGAGCTTCTGGTAGCAGCATGTAGGGAATGCTTACCTTATTGTATTCACATACATGCCGTTAATTCTATGGTCTTTTGTGTGTCAAAACTTCCAGCCCCAAGTACTGGTTTCATTTTAGCCTTTATTTTGCAGGTTAATAAAGCACCAAAAACTATATCTTACAACCGAAAATATGTAAGACATATATATTTATTCACTTATGAAGGTATGATTACATATTAAGAAAACACTAGTTCATTTACACATCAGTCAATCATCGTTAATTACAATAATTAGGTAGGTGGTGATGTTTCAAAAGTAGACGCATACAAAACGTTGAAGGGAGATAACTCTAACTGAATAAAATCATCACAGTATGTACAGCCTACCCCAAATTCAGGACCCAAATCCCCTTTATTACAGAGTTATTGCCTTTGGTAAACATTTTATGTTCAATAAAGATGTTTTAGGGGAACACGTATTAGCTTCACGGATACTCTCATTTTTTCAGGAAATGGAACGATCGAATTTGAAGAATTTGTTGTGATGGTTGCCGACCGATTAAAAGACTTCGACGCCATTTCAGAAATGAAGGAAGCTTTTGAGGTATTTGATCAGGACGGTGACGGGTTTTTAGATAAAGACGATATTCAAAGAGCAATGGAAGGACTGGGCGTGTCTTTAACAGCACCGGAAGTGACGCAAATGATGGAGGTGGCAGACGCTAACAAAGATGGCCGACTGGATTACAAAGGTAAAGATAATAGAAATAACAAGAAAAAACCGACATTTTGAATATCGAACTTAATATCACTAGTTTACTGGCATTTGGAAAGAAAAACATACTATACTTTTCATGAAAAAACGCTCATTTTTGTCTTAAATAATAAAGCGATATTCATTCAGCATCGAAAAATTTACCTATGAAATATTTGTGTATATATGTATATGTATATTATATATAGGTTAGGATAACCAGTAACAGTATAAAATTTGTAACAAGATAAAAGAAATTTACCAAAATTTAAAGTAAGACAACAAAAGAATCTAAGGGAAACAAGATACAAAAGTGGAAAAACAATAAAAGTAAAGATTATACAGACACAGTTGAATAAGTACAATAAAAAAGACATTTTTTTCTGCGTCATCTTCAACGTTGAATTAAATCAAGTGTTAAATAACAGAGATGTCAATTATAATGTTATTGTCACAGCTGTCCTATCGATAATTTGGTCTTACACATCGTATACTTTTGTAACGTTTACAATATTTTGCAATTTTAAACATTAACAACATCCTCCCTTATGATGTTGTTCATTTTCTGTACTTTTACAAGGTACACTATAGGTCAGTGTTAGTCGACCGTACATGTTTCATTCCGTCAAAACACGATAAGCTTGACAGCCGATAGGAGCCAAGAATGTCAATCTTGCAGTTCAAAGCTTCTAACATCCTCTTGTATCCACATCGTCTATTCGTATATATTACAGTTATATCAAATTTTAATTGCTAGAGATCTTTTTAGCTTGACACCCAGAAATAGAAAGATACAGACCTTTGAGATTTTTTTTCATTACTTCTCAGTATAATTTGGTGCCTGTCAATGATATAAATCCTGTTTTGTTTTACAGAATTCATGAAGTTGGCCAGTTTAGTTTGATGTCTGTCAGTGATATTAATCCTGTTTTATGTTACAGAATTTGTGGCGATGTTGACAAAAGGAGACCAACACAGAGCTGACAATATCCTTTTATCACTGAAACCATCTTTAACAATATGACACCTGTCACATCTGTCTGTAACGATATGACACCTGTCACATCTGTCTGTAACGATCTGACACATTTGTCTGTATGATGTGACACCTGTGTCTGTATGATGTGACACCTGTGTCTGTATGATGTAACACCTATATCTATAATAATCTGACATCTGTGTCTGTATGAGGTAACACCTGTTTCTGTAATGATCTATCATTTGTGTCTGTAATGACCTGACATCTGTGTCTGTAATGATCTGACACCTGTGTCTGTAATGATCCGACACCTGTGTCTGTAATGATCTGACACCTGTGTCTGTAATGTTGTGACACCTGTGTCTGTAATGATCTAACACCTGTGTCTTTTATGATGTAACACCTGTGTCTGCAATGATTTGACACCTGTGTCTGTAATGATCTAACACCTGTGTCTGTAATGATGTGACACCTGTGTCTGTAATGATCCGACATATGTGTCTGTAATGATCTAACACCTGTGTCTCTAATGATCTGACACATGTGTCTCTAATGATGTAACACCTGTGTCTGTAATGATCCGACACCTGTGTCTGTAATGACCCGACACCTGTGTCTAATAATCCGACACCTGTGTCTGTAATAATCCGACACCTGTGTCTGTAATGATCCGACACCTGTGTCTGTAATGATCTGACACCTGTGTCTGTAATGTGTCTGTAATGATCTGACACCCGTGTCTGTAATGATGTAACACCTGTGTCGGTAATGTTGTGACGCCTGTGTCTGTAATGATCTGACACCTGTGTCTGTAATGATCTACCACCTGTGTCTGTAATGTGTCTGTAATGATCTGACACCTGTGTCTGTAATGATGTAACACCTGTGTCTGTAATGTTGTGACACCTGTGTCTGTAATGATCTGACACCCGTGTCTGTAATGATGTGACACCCGTGTCTGTAATGATGTAACACCTGTGTCGGTAATGTTGTGACGCCTGTGTCTGTAATGATCTGACACCTGTGTCTTTAATGATCTGACACCTGTGTCTGTAATGTGTCTGTAATGATCTAACACCCGTGTCTGTAATGATGTGACACCTGTGTCTGTAATGATCCGACATCTGTGTCTGTAATGATCTGACACCCGTGTCTGTAATGATGTGACACCTGTGTCTGTAATGATCTGACACCTGTGTCTGTAATGTGTCTGTAATGATCTGACACCTGTGTCTGTAATGATCTACCACCTGTGTCTGTAATGTGTCTGTAATGATCTGACACCTGTGTCTGTAATGTGTCTGTAATGATCTGACACCCATGTCTGTAATGATGTAACACCTGTGTCGGTAATGTTGTGACGCCTGTGTCTGTAATGATCTAACACCTGTGTCTGTAATGATGTGACACCTGTGTCTGTAATGATCTAACACCTGTGTCTGTAATGATCTGACACCTGATCTATCACCTGTGTGTTTAATGTTATGACACCTGTGGGAGTAATGACCATGTGACACCTGTGTCTGTAATGATCTAACAACTGTGTCTGTAATGATCTGACACCTGTGTCTGTAATGATCTACCACCTGTGTCTGTAATGTGTCTGTAATGATCTGACACCTGTGTCTGTAATTTGTCTGTAATGATCTGACACCTGTGTCTGTAATGATCTGACACCCGTGTCTGTAATGATGTGACACCCGTGTCTGTAATGATGTGACACCTGTGTCTGTAATGATGTGACACCTGTGTCTGTAATGATCTGACACCTGTGTCTGTAATGATCTGACACCTGTGTCTTTAATACACCTGTGTCGGTAATGATGTAACACTCGTGTCTGTAATGATCTACCACCTGTGTCTGTAATGATCTGACACCTGTGTCTGTAATGATCTGACACCTGTGTCTGTAATGTGTCTGTAATGATCTGACGCCTGTGTCTGTAATGATCTGACACCTATGTCTGTAATGATGTGACACCTGTGTCAGTAATGATGTCTGTAATGATGTGACACCCTGTGTCTGTAATGTTGTGACACCTGTGTCTGTAATGATGTGACACCTGTGTCTGTAATGATGTGACACCTGTGTCTGTAATGTTGTGACACCTGTGTCTGTAATGATGTGACACCTGTGTCTGTAATGATGTGACACATGTGTCAGTAATGATCTGACACCTCTGTCTGTAATGTGTCTGTAATGTGTCTGTAATGATGTGACACCTGTGTCAGTAATGATGTGACACCTGTGTCTGTAATGTGTGTGTGTGTCTGTAATGATGTGACACCTGTGTAATGTTGTGACACCTGTGTCTGTAATGATGTGACACCTGTGTCTGTAATGATGTGACACCTGTGTCTGTAATGTTGTGACACCTGTGTCTGTAATGATCTGACACCTGTGTCTGTAATTTTCTGACACCCGTGTCTGTAATGATGTGACACCCGTGTCTGTAATGATGTGACACCTGTGTCAGTAATGAGCATGTGATAGATGTCTGGCTTTATTCAACATGCATTTAAATCTTCTTTAGTTCATTATTAACATTGTTTGAGTTGGTGTAAAGCGAGGAATAAAATTTTTACAATCTTTTCATTGGTTAATCTCATTAATTTTATTTACCATCAACGTTTTGAATTGAAATAAGAAAAGTTTCAAGTAAATATTGCAAAATGCAATATGGAACATACAAAATAGACTGTTGTAGATGTGGTAGCACTGTGGTAGAAGATGTTCAAGCAAATAAAAGTTAATGATGGACAAATGGACGGTTGGAGCAGGGACAGGCAATGTCTCATCATCATCCATTGTCAAAGTGTTTGATGAGCATGAAAAATTGAATGAATAAGACCAGTGGCACTGGAAAAGTAAGTCTCTTTTGTTTCATAAAAGTGACATGCCTGGTATGTATTCATACTGACAAACAGTATTTTTAACATCAGAAATACTGCTTTAAATCACTTACTCTTAAAAGTTTTTTTGTTAATAATGCAGCTTCAAATTTTCTGTCAATACCTTTGACTTAATACTTGTTGTTTCAAAATATTTTTATTCAAACCTTGAATATGCTGAAATAATCTTAAGCTGGACAGTCACTTCTGCTTTAAACGATTTTACATTTTACAAGTTATCCTCCAGATGTGCTAGCTAGGTGGATCAGGCTGAACCAGGGGCTGGTCGACTCTCTCATCTGCCAGTTGTTGTCACAGTCTGTAGTACTAGATATCTAGGCAACTTCCTTATTCGTCCTTCTGCATCACTAAGGACATCGATGCCTACGTATCTTCCATCACCTTTTGTATAGCACTGTGTCTAAGGACCGCTCCATCTGTTTACTGTCCCAAAAATGGGTAATTCACAACCAATATGCATCTAGGACCTCTCAAGAAAGCAATAACAAGAATTGTTAACAAAAACACCATGAACATAGGACAATTTGAAGATACACCAAGTAACAAAGGTCATTATTTATTTCAATGCTTCAGCCAGGATTCAAACCCAGAACCCTTGGCTTACTAGTCTGACACCCAACTAATTGAGCTAACGAGAAGTTATCTCTAGCAGAGCGGTATATTGATGCTAGTATTTGCCAGGGTTACACACACAGGAAAAAATTCCTGTATAACAAATATAACAAGTCAACACACATATAGAAGACATAGACATCTTTATTACGAGAAACAAAAGCTAAACCTTGACATCCCTGCTTAGTCACGATGACACCCTACCCAAATCTATAATATGTAAAATCACACATACACACCATGAATAAAACAAACCTTGTCTAAGTTAAAATGAATGGCCTTATTCTGGACCTCATTCACGAGTATTAAGCTTTTCCTGGATTTCAAACCAGAGAAGTATATACAGTCAAACCTGTCTATTCAAGGGAGTAGAGAAAAGTGGCTTTTATAAACAGGTGGTCTTTATACACAGGTGACCTTAAGACAGATATAGATCTGAATCAGGAAGTCAGATAACATGTTACTTGGGGTTTCCTAACTTTAGTGTTAATGACAGCTGTATACTCACTTAATAAAAACATTTTCTACCTGTCGTCACTGAATTTCACCATTATACATAAACCTCCAATGTTCTTTACTATAGCATAGTGCATTCAGTTGATTTCTGAAGCAGGTCTGCTCTTTTGATTTAACAGGTTTTTGGCCACACAAATCAAATTATCTTTTTCAATCATTTATCACATTTGGAGTGGGAGGGGTTATTTTTTTTTCAAAATTTCAATCATGTTCTTGTTTCATATCATCATTAGGGCTAGGTGAGCTAATAATTGAAAGGAAGATTGAACACACAGGTCCTACTTCAGTTGTTTGTATCAGTTGTCTCCCTTTCTAGCTTGATTTTGTCAGCGGTTAGTCATGATCATTAAATAAGTTTTAAAAACATTTAAACTTCATTAAACATCAATTAAATTACTCTAAAATTCTGCATTTAAACTCAATTATATATAAGAGGTCAAATGTAACCATAAAAACAGCTACAACCAACAACAATCCAGCAACTACGAACACAGCGACAACAAACAACGCTCCAGCAACCACGAACACAGTGACAACAAACAATGCTCCGGCAACTACAAACACAGAGACCACAAACAACGCTCCAGCGACTACGATCACAGCGACAACAAACAACACTTCAACAACTACGATCACAGTGACAGCAAACAACGCCCCCACAACCACGAACACAGTGACAACAAACAACGCTCCAGCGACTACGAATACACCGACAACAAACAACACTTCAACAACTACGATCACACCGACAACAAACAACGCTCCAGCGACTACGATCACACCGACAACAAACAACATTGCAGCGACTACGACCACAGTGACAACAAACAACGCTCCAGCGACTACGAACACAGCAGCAACAAACACTGCCACATGTAGAAACAAACCAACAACAAACAACGCTACAGCAACCACGAACACAGCAGCAACAAAGCCCCCACCACCATGAACACAGTGATAAAAAACCACGCTTCCACAACCACGAAAACAGCTACAACCAACAACAATCCGGCAACTACAAACACACCGACAACAAACAAGGCTCCGGCAACTACAAACACACCGACAACAAACAACGCTCCGGCATCTACGAAAACAGAGACAACAAACAACGCTCCGGCAACTACGAACACAGAGACCACAAACAATGCTCCAGCGAATACGAATACACCGACAACAAACAACACTTCAACAACTACGATCACACCTCAACAAACAACGCTCCAGCGACTACGATCACACCGACAACAGTGTCACCACTGAGATTACACCGACAACAAACAATGCTCCAACACTGAACACAGGTTACAACAACAGTGCTCACCACTGATCACAGCGACAACAAACAATGTCACCACAACTGAAAACAGGACAACAACACAACGCTCCACACAACACAATACGATCACCAACAAACAAAGCCCCCACAACTACGAAAACAGAGACAACAAACAACGCTCCGGCAACTACGAACACAGAGCGTAACTACACAATAGTGTCACCACTGATGGTTACTACACAAAAGTGTCACCACTGAGGGTTACTAGACAACATTGTCACCACAGATAGTGTCTATATAATAGTGTCACCACTGATGGTTACTACACAATTGTGTCAACGCTGATGGTTACTACACAATAATGTCACCACTGATGGTTACTACACAATAGTGTCACCACTGATGGTTACTACACAATAGTGTCACCACTGATGGTTACTACACAATAGTGTCACCACTGATGGTTACTACACAATAGTGTCACCACTGATGGTTACTATACAATAGTGTCACCACTGATGGTTACTACACAATAGTGTCACCACTGATGGTTACTACACAATAGTGTCACCACTGATGGTTACTACACAATAGTGTCACCACTGATGGTTACAACACAATAGTGTCACCACTGATGGTTACTACACGATATTGTCACCACTGTTGGTAACTACACAATAGTGTCACCACTGATGGTTACTACACAATAGTGTCACCACTGATGATTACTACACAATAGTGTCACCACTGATGGTTACTAAACAATAGTGTCACCAATGATGATTACTACACAATAGTGTCAACACTGATGGTTACTACAAAATAGTGTCACCACTGATGGTAACTACACAATAGTGTCACCACAGATGATGATAACAGAATGTTGTCACATCTCATGGTTACTACACAATAGCGTCACCAGTGATGGTTACTACACAATAGTGTCACCACTGATGGTTATAACAAAATGTTGTCACCTCTGATGGTTACTACACAATAGTGTCACCACTGATGGTTACTACACAATAGTGTCACCACTGATGGTTACTACACAATAGTGTCAACATTGACGGTCACTTCACAATGGTGTAACCACTGATGGTAACTACACAATAGTGTCACCACTGATGGTAACTACACAATAGTGTCACCACTGATGGTTACTACACAATAGTGTCACCACTGATGGTAACTACACAATAGTGTCACCACTGATGGTTACTACACAATGGTGTCACCACTGATGGTTACTACACAATAGTGTCACCACTGATGGTTACCACATCAAAGTGTCACCACTGATGGTTACTACACAATAGTGTCACCACTGATGGTTACTACACAATAGTGTCACCACTGATGGTTACTACACAATAGTGTCACCACTGATGGTTACTATACAATAGTGTCTGCAATGACGGCCAATACACAATAGTGTCACCACTCATGGTTACTACACAATAGTGTCACCACTGATGGTTACTACAATAGTGTCACCACTGATGGTAACTACACAATAGTGTCACCACTGATGGCTACTACACAATAGTGTCACCAATGATGGTTACTACACAATAGTGTCACCACTGATGGTTACTACACAATAGTGTCACCACTGATGGTTACTACACAATAGTGTCACCACTGATGGTTACTACACAATAGTGTCACCACTAATTGTTACTACACAATGGTGTCACCACTGATGGTTACTACACAATAGTGTCACCACTGATGGTTACTACACAATAGTGTCACCACTGATGGTTACTACAATAGTGTCACCATGATGGTTACTACACAATCACCTCTGATGGTTACTACACAATAGTGTCACCACTGATGGTTACTACACAATAGTGTCACCACTGATGGTTACTACACAATAGTGTCACCACTGATGGTTACTACACAATAGTGTCACCACGGATGGTAACTACAAAACAGTGTCACCACCGATGGTTACTACACAATAGTGTCACCACTGATGGTAACTACACAATAGTGTCACCACTGATGGTTACTACACCTCAGTGTCACCACTGATGGTTACTACACTAAACGAATGTGTCACCACTGATGGTTACTACACAATAACGTCACCAGAGATGGTTACTACAAAACAGTGTCACCAATGATAGTTACTACACGAAAGTGTCACCACAGATTGTTGCAACACAATAGTGTCACCACTGATGGTTACTACACAATAGTGTCACCACTGATGGTTAGTACATAAAAGTGTCACCACTGATGGTTACTACACAATAGCGTCTACACCGATGGTTGCTACACAATGGTGTCACCACTGATGGTTACAAAACGAAAGTGTCACCACTGATGGCTACTACACAATAGTGTCACCACTGATGGTTACTACACAATAGTGTCACCACTGATGGTTACTACGTGAAAGTGTCACCACTGATAGTTACTATACAATAGTGTCACCACTGATGGTTACTACACAATAGTGTCACCACTGATGGTCACTACACAATAGTGTCACTGCTGATCGTCACAACACAATAGTGTCACCACTGATAGTTGCTACACAATAGTGTCACCACTGACGGTCACTTCACAATGGTGTCACCACTGATGGTTACTACACAATAGTGTCACCACTGATGGTTACTACACAATAGTGTCACCACTGATGGTTACTACACAATAGTGTCACCACTGATGGTTACTACACAATAGTGTCACCACTGATGGTTACTACACAATAGTGTCACCACAGATGGTTACTACACAATAGTGTCACCACTGATGGTTACTACACAATAGTGTCACCACTGATGGTTACTACACAATAGTGTCACCACTGATGGTTACTACACAATAGTGTCACCACTGATGGTTACTACACAATAGTGTCACCAGTGATGGTTACTACACAATAGTGTCACCACTGATGGTTACTACACAATAGTGTCACCACTGACGGTTACACTGATGGTTACTACAATAGTGTCAATAGTGTCACCGCAGATGGTCACTACACAATAGTGTCACCACTGATGGTTACTACACAATAGCGTCACCACTGAAGGTCACCACACAATAGTGTCACCACTGATGGTTACTACACAATAGTGTCACCACTGATGGTTACTACACAATAGTGTCACCACTGATGGTTACTAAACAATAGTGTCACCACTGACGGTCGCTTCACAATGGTGTCACCAGTAATGGTTTCTCCACAATAGTGTCACCACTGATGTTTACTGCATCAAAGTGTCACCACTGATGGTTACTGAACTATAGTTTCACCACTGATGGTTACTACACAATAGTGTCACCACTGATGGTAACTACACAATAGTGTCATCACTGACTGTCACTACACAACGGTGTCACCACTGATGGTTACTACACAATAGTGTCACCACTGATGGTCACTACACAATAGTGTTACCACTGATGGTTACTACACAATAGTGTCACCACTGATGGTTACTACACAATAGTGTCACCACTGATAGTTACCGTACAATAGTGTCACCACTGATGGTAACTACACAATAGTGTCACCACTGATGGTTACTACACAATAGTGTCACCACTGATGGTTACTACACAATAGTGTCACCACTGATGGTTAGTACATAAAAGTGTCACCACTGAACGTTATTACATAAAAATGTCACCACTGATGGTTACTACATCAAAGTGTCACCACTGATGGTTACTACACAATAGTGTCACCACTGATGGTTAATACATAAAAGTGTCACCACTGATGGTTACTACACAATAGTGTCACCACTGATGGTTACTACACAATAGTGTCACCACTGATGGTTACAACACAATAGTGTCACCACTGATGGTTACTACACAATAGTGTCACCACTGATGGTTACTACACAATAGTGTCACCACTGATGGTTACTACACAATAGTGTCACCACTGATGGTTACTGTACAATAGTGTCAACACTGATGGTTACTACAAAATAGTGTCACCACTGATGGTTACTACACAACAGTATCACCACCGATGTTAACTACACAAAAGTGTCACCACAGATGGTTATAACACAATGGTGTCACCACTGATGGTTACTACATCAAAGTGTCACCACTGATGGTTACTACACAATAGTGTCACCACTGATGGTTACTACATGAAAGTGTCACCACTGAACGTTATTACATAAAAATGTCACCACTGATGGTTACTACACAATAACGTCACCACAGATGGTTACTACACAACAGTGTCACCACTGATGGTTACTACAAAATAGTGTCACCACTGATGGTTACTACACAATAACATGTGTGAGACTGATGGTTATCACAATACTTGTGTCACATCTATGGTTATACATATGTGAGTGTCATCACTGACTGGTTACATACATCACAATAGTGTCACCACTGATGGTCACTACACAATAGTGTCACCACTGACGGTTACTATACAATAGTGTCACCACTGATGGTCACTACACAATAGTGTCACCACTGATGGTTACTATACATTAGTGTCACTACTGATGGTTACTACACAATGGTGTTACCAGGGAATCACAGGAACTTTTGGATACATTTGCGGTATTATGATATGTGATACCGGGAAATC